TTTTTGTGACCTCCAGAAGTAGCTTCATACCTCCTGTACACTAAGTACTTCTGCCCCCTTCCTACCCGGCACAGGCACTTAAGTATCACTCAGCCTCATGCACAACCAGTGAGTAGGATCTGGTCCAGCTCTGCCACTCTGCATAACAACATTCCTGACTCTTTTTGTTTTGCTCTCTCTAAAGGAGAGCTCTCAAAGCAGTCAAATTGGTTTTAATTTGTTTTTAAAGGGAAAAAGAGAAACAGCTTAGAGGTAGAAAACGTGCAGTGAACAAAACAGCTGTACTGTAAACCTCTGAAAAAACATACTTTACAATGGTAATTATGACAGATTAAACAATGAGTGTCATCAGTGTGATGGTACAATGCACACAATACTGTTTCCTACTCAAATATTTGCAGACATCTCCAATTCTTTATTTTAATGAAATCTCATCTAACTATTGAATTGACTTTAAGAACCATCCTGACGCTCACAAGAGCTTTTGCTGTCAGAAGCTCTGTCAGATATTTGAACTGCAATTTGCCCCCAATGGTTCCCAGCTTGAGCTAGAGGAATGCTGTAAACATAGTTTTCTAGGAGGTAGTGAGTCAAAAAAATCACTGCCTACAGAAAGAATGCTAAACCCTGAGAGGGGCTGAGGTCCTATCCTGCTCTACAGTTACAACAGGAATTGTAAGGACCCACACACCTTGAAGAAAGCTTTTGGTACAGATTTTCTCCACTTCTTACACATATGCATACAACTGTGCTGCTGTGTGATTAAGCTGTCCTCTTTGGACGGTTAAGCACCTGGAATCCTTTCGTCATTCAGTCCATATGTGCATGACAAGTATGGGCTGCAATCATGAAGCCAAAGAAAATAAATCAATCCCTTTGAGAACTTGCTGAGAACGTCCCAGCTATTGGATGGGGAGTAACACAATTTAAACAAAGATACATTAATTAATGCTAAATGACAGCATGCGAACCCATAGGGTTTCCATTAATACCAAATGAGTTCATGATGGTTTATATCAAATAAAAGGAAAGACTGATGGTAAAGCCTCCATGTGCTAGTGACACCCAGTTATTTAAGGAAATTTACTTTGCATGTTGCTCGGCATTATGCAAAGAACATTAAATGGGCTGAATCCTGAGGCTGACCCTTCACTATTGTTTTGTTTTAAGCAAAAATGTCTATCGGCTTTAATAAGAACTTTTTTTAAATGAAGGAAATCACCTCAGATGTGACCCTTATGGATATGTCTCATTGTCACGTTCAACATACTTGTCTAAGCTCCTGTATTTGTGACATCCTGCTTCCTGCTGGCTCTCACAGTCTCATTCTCTCTCAAGTATTTGCCAGATTTTTCCATGTTTCCTTTAAGTGTCTGCTTGGACTGAGTTTCCCCAGATCCAAGAAAGATGATGAGGACTGCTCAGTACAGAGGAGAAGCTGTGTTTTGCTGCAGTCCCATTAATCCTTGAAGAAATTTGGAATCAGAAGGCAAGCTGGCATGGGTTGTATTTCCAAGCTGGCTGTGAAAGCCATGGATTCACACATATCTTAAAGGCCAACCATTTTTCGCCCCCCTGAGGTAATGAGAAAACAATCCTGTGTGCCACCCCTGCTGACTTTGCAGAAGTAACTCTGCCATAAGCCTTAACTCTCACCACTCTGAGAAAGTGAAATACTAAGGACAGCAATGAAATCATTAAAAAGACAGTAAACAGACTGGTGTTTGCCAAATGGAGTAGGGCCACATGACTAGGCAAATAATGTTTATTTTAACACTCCCAAAGTCTGCTAAAGATAGCAGAGAATGAAAATACATGAGAGCTATCATACTGAAGTAAGAGGAGTTAACAAGCATCTTTAACCTAGCAATGCAAGGGAGGTATTTTGGAGCTGTACATCTGAATAGATTCTGCACCAGCTGTTCTGACCACCCAACTGATGGGGCACTTTGTGGACAGGAAGGTACACCCTGAGAAGTGGGGAGAAACCACGGTATCCTTCATTTTGATGGATATCAAAATGCCTGTGCCAATAATGCCATTGCAACTGTTCCTAGGCTGCTCCATACATGACTAGATGTGGGTCAGCACAGAATTAAGGATCATGAAGTACAATTTGGACACAGGAAACAGCAAAGGTCCCTGTAAAACTCTGCACAATATACAGAAACATACGCAAACAGCAATTTCTGAATAGACTGAACATTCACATTTGACTTTATTCCTTTTCGAAACCTTTTCTAGATTCTTCAAGAGAGAAACCTAAATATAGTGCAAAAACCTCAAATGCTTTGCTCATGTATTTTATAATTTTGCATTTTTTCTGAACTGAAGAAGAGAGTTCATGAAAACTGAGAGAGTTATCAAAGGCTGCCATCCTTATTCCTCAATTTCTTCCTGTTTATTGCCCTTTCACAAGTGGCTGACTCAACAGACAGCTGAGAAAAGACTAAATAAGTCTTCTCTGGGTGGCATTTTAAGCTGTAGTATTTTAAGAACTGCTATTATGTTGCAGCTGAATATTCCAGCAGACTGTCTGACCCCCTTCTGAATCAGAGTCCCACCAGGCTAAATATGTGCACAAATTCCAAGCATTGCCCTGCAGATTCTGCACAGAGAAGAGCAATTTTATATCCAGGTGAACAATGGCTCTTTACTCCAGCATTTGTTCTGTAAAAAAATGCAATCTTTAGAACGACACCAGAATACATAGATTTAATTGTAGATCTAGCAAAATGCATGTTTTCTCAATATCTTTTTTTTTTTAATAGTCCTACCTCTCCATCCATAAACAGGTATACAACTGTATAGAGAGATCTCTTTGTGTACAGAGATCAATAAATCTGAAATTTTACAGAAATTAAGGGCAAAAGAAGGCATTTCAGAGCCTTCAAAAGATAGACTTGAACCAAAGTTGCTGAGTTGCTGCTAATGATACCAATTGTCTGGGTTGGAATTTTTTGAGATGAAATGTTAGTACTTCAAACATACAAATAAGGTCAGTGAAAGACTTCACTGAATCAGCAAAATTCCTCAGTCTTTCAGTCTTTTAGAAAAAAAACAGAAGAATTGAAGTCTAGTTCTAAGAAAGGAGGACTGAAGAGATTGCACTGAGAAGAACCAGAGCTATTTTAAAAAGATTACTAAATGTAACTAATGTAGATCCTAATAAGTACCTGCTGTCTTTGGGGCAGTAGCAGGTAATAAAACTTGGCTCCATAACCCTGCCTCTCTGAGGAATGCCTATTTTCTAAACCACTCTTCCGCGACATGCAGTCTGAAGAAGCGTTATCACAAGTCTCCTTAAAATGGTGGTTAGTAGAAACTAGGACTACTGGAAGAAAAAAGGTCTTTTATTCTGCCTTGCAACTCAACAACAAAATGTTGTTTTCTGTTTATTTTTAAGAGAAATATGCTCTCGTGACCAGAGGATTGACTTAACACACCAATGAGAACAAACTTAAAAATTGATACCCCTTTCTATTTAAATAATCGTTTTGTCACTAACTCGCTGACTGATCTTACACAGCTTATTGACACCTATAGTTTTCCCAAGTATTCAGTAATTTTTATTTATGTTGTCTTGCAGAATGAAATACAGGAATAGGGCTGATTGTCAGGGACATGAAACCAAAAATTTCAGTTTCACATGAAACTGTTGGGAGTGCAGAGGCTCAGCCTTAAAACAAGGCTTTGGTTCCTCCATAATTTACCCCCTTATCTCCAGTTGCAGTTACCACACACAAAGATGCGTCTTTGCCTACACGGGTCGGAAGTTTCAAAACTAAGAGGTTAGAAATCTTGGATTAAATGTCACAGTCACAGTATGCCCATCTGTAAAATGGGCAAAATGCCTATCCATTGTCTTCCCGGGGGAACCTCAAGAGCAACTATGTGACCACTGTTAAATACCTCTGTCGCTTTCAGTGTATCAGGGGAGTCTTTTGTCATTCTTCCTTTACAGAGAATGACAACTAAATTGTCAGGCCCTCCAGGGATAGGAATGGGCGGGAGGAAAAGGAAACACAAGGAAAGCAGATGACCGATGGCAGGAGACGAATTTGTTTCGTCTGCCACAATGTCAGTACAATGGCAACACCCAAACACTAGCAGCCTTGACGACAGAGGACTTGTAGATCTTTGACTCATGTGCTTAGAACAGAGGCAGTGGAGGAATGGAGAACTTAATTATTTACTTCTAAAGCCCTGGTCACAATTCAGAGGTCAAGCTCCTTAACTCTCTTCTCAGATGTAACAGCTAATGAAAGGTGTCCTTTAAATAATAATGATCAAGGGACCTGACCAACACTGAAGGATTCTTTAACCATTTTGCGCTGGTTTCTGCTTTTCTGAAAAGTGATTGTGATGTGACAGAGGAAGGAAAGGGGGGAAAAGGAAGGAATAAAAAGAAAGGGAGAGGGGATTGGTCTTTCTTTTAGTTACTTCCCTGGTGGTAAATGGTGAGGGTGTACTGCAACTTTAACCGAACACCATCAGTTTAGGACACATTGTTTTAGAGTCGACTTACTAATTGAACAAAACAATTTTCTTCCCAGCTCGGCAAGTATTTGCTGTGCCTGTGGCAAGGAGGCTCTGGTGTAAGGGAAGGGCAGTCAGAGAGGGAAGGGCACTCTCTTCGCCAGGCAGGAGGCGAGGAGTGAAATTCTCCGCAACGGTGTCCACCGCAACTCCCACTTTACATGCACACAGGAGACAAAATAGGAATTTATCAATGCACGTTCAAGGCACTCGGGCATTACAGAGATGGAGACATTAAATATGAAAAGGCGACATTGACAGGTGATTAGAAAACCCTAATTAACGTAGAACCACAGTTTTTAAAATCTCAGGCAGGTACGGGCCCTCAACTATGGGGGGACTCTTCAGCACACAGCCCTTGGCACAGACCTCCGTGTTTCTCTTGGGGTGGGAAGAGGCCGCAAAGCAGCAGAAAACGGCTTAACATCCCTCCCGGCCTCCACACGGGCTCCTGCCGACCGATGGCGCGCAGCCCGCCATCCCGCCCCGGCTCCTGCGGCTGTTACTCGCGATCCACCAGCGGGGCAAACACGACCGGGGCCTCGGCTGCCGCCTTCAGAGCCGAGGGCTGGGGCACGACAGCAGCCGCCGCGCCTCAGAGGCCGCTTCAGAGCAGACGCCGGGGAGCCCCGCGTTTCCACCTGCTGCCTCCGCGGCCCCCCGCCCCGGCCTGTCACCGCAGCCTCCGGCCGGCGCAGGCGGCAACATGGCTGCCGCGATCCCCCGCTGGGGGCACGCAGGAGGCCACGGAGCCTTGCTCCTCTCCCCACCCGTGGGATCAGGGGCGAAGTAAGCGCCTCAGAGTCCCTCGGCCCGTGCTGCCCCTGCGCTGCGCTGCGGGGGGGGGCGGGTAGTGGTTCCCCTGCCTGTCCCGGGACGCCAACGCCCCCCCTCCCCGGCACGGACTACAACTCCCGGGGCGCTCTGCAAAGGCGCAGTTGCTGCGGGCAACG